CTGAGCTTTTCCAGCGACTTCTGTTTTTGTTCCTGATTTACAGCATCTGCAGTTCTTTCAGTTTTTACAAAATATAATACATGTTGGAGAATCAATTGATTGAACCAAGCCAGAGTAATTGGAATTTTCTAGTAGTAATGGTTCCTAAACCAGATGGTTTATTTAGATTGTGTGGACTATTGGAAAGTAAATGCTATCAGAAAGGTGGATTCATACCCTATTCCCTGACTAGAAGATTGCGTTGATAGAGTTGGCAGTGCATCATTCTTTTCTAAAACTGATTTGTTAAAAGGATATTGGCAAGGACTGTTGACAACAAGGACTAAGGAAATTTCTGCTTGTGTCACACCCAATGGATTGTTTCAATGCCAGTTTATGCTATTTGGAATTGAGAATGCTGCAGACACATGTCAAAAATTAACTGAATAGTTATAGCTGAAGTACCTAACTGTGTGTTTACTTGAATGATATTGTAGTATCCTGAATGTAAACTGTTGTAAATTTAAGAATGTGACCAAGAAAGTTGAACAGTAATTAATAATCTGGTAGAAGGAAAAATGAATGGCTGAGTTTTATGTGTTATTGTTTGAGTATTACTAACCTCATCATGAAACACATTTTGAAATGATGTTAACACCTCAAAAGTTCAAATGGATTTGCTTTCGATTACTTAATCTTTATGAATCATTGCTTTCATATGAGGGGGTAACTAACAGAAAAAAGACGTGTTCTTTTAATCCTGTTTGCAATCTCTCTCTTGTGTTTAGGAAATCAGCAGAAGGTATGTTCTCAGCTCAATACATGTTGTACCTCTGAAATGGAGGAACAGCTCAGCCTGCAAGGTCAGCAAGAGTTTAGCAAAATTGTGCTGGAGACGAGCAATGCTCTATTGTCAACATTTGCTTCAAGGTACAAGAAGTTTGATGGTAAGTTCTGGGGAAAAGTACAATTTATTGAATATAAAGTTATGTCTTTTTGGTAGTTTTTGGATTTAGGTATCCTGTCATTTGTCCTGTTCAATTGTTCAACATTCATAAGTACAGAACAAAGAACATTTTAGGAACACTGTGACAACACTTGATGTACAGAGTAGGGTGGAGCCTATAAAAAGAAGCAGATTGCACAGGGCATGGAGGTTCTGAAAGTGTTTATGTACTGGAGCTGGGTTCCAGAGAGTCTGGGTTGTCGTCATAGGATCAGGAGTTAGTGATTGCCACTGGGCAAAAATAGGGTTTGCAAGAGAATAAACATTAAAACAAACTGGGAGTATGAAAATCACAAAAAGTTCTTCCCATATCAATATAGGATCATTATTAAATAGTAAAATGAATAAGATTGAAATCTACTAGTGCAGACAAGGGAACAAGAATGGTATGAGAAATATTGGATGTATTAACAGTTATCTTGCAAAATTCAAAAGTAGTTACTACAGATTGGATAGTGATAAATGTCACCCCTCCATTTTAAAAAAGGAAGGAGAGAAAAAAATAAGAATTACTGACTAGTTGGCCTAACGTTAGTAATGGGGAAAATGCTAGTCTATTATGAAAGATGTGATAAGAGAACACTTGGAAAGCATTAACAGGCTTGGTAAAACCAGTATGGATGTATAAAAGACAAATTATGCTCAACAATCACTGGATTTTTTTTAAAGGCTGTAACTAATAGAATAGATAAGGGGAACAAGTGGATGCGGTGAATTTGGATTTTCAGGAGGCTTTTGGTAAGGTCTGTCATAAGAGGTTAACAGACAAAAGTAAAGAACATGCAATGGGGATAATATATTAACATGGATGGCGAATTGTTTGATAGACAAGAAGCAGTGTGGGAATAAATGGGTCTTCTTCCATGCTTGTAGGCAGTGGTGAGTGGGGTACTGCACCAGTTTATTATGCATGACTTGAGTGAGGGAACCGAATGCAACATGCCAACGTTTGCTGATGAGACAAAAATAAGGGATTGTGAGTAGTGAGGAGGATGCAAGGACACTTCAAGATGATTTATGACATGAGTGAGTGAGCAAACACATGGCAGATGCAATACAATGTGGTGAAGTGTCAAGTTATGCTCGGAATATTACTTAAATGGTGATATGTTACGAAACATGGATGTATGAGGGAATCGGGTTATCCTTGTACACCAGTCAATTCTGAAGAACAGTCACTGGATTCAAAGCATTAACTCTTTCTCTCCAATGAAAGTCGACAGAGAGGTGCAGCAAGCAATGATTCTCAATGCCACCTCGCATCTAGGAGCGCAGTCAGTTGTGGAGCACGTCCTCAGAATATTGCTAGAATATTGTCAGCATTCATTGCTTTTTTTGTATTTAGTGTCCACTCTTTTGGATATCATGTGGAGTGAATTGAATTGGTAGAAGACTGGTATCTGTGATGTAGGGAACTTCCAGAGAAGGTCAATATGGGTCATTAACTTGTTACCTCTGGCAAATACGTCAGCCTTATTTTTTGAACTGATGTGCTGTGCTCCACATCATTGTAGATGAGAATAGTTATGGAGTTTGTACTTCTTGATCAGTTAGTTGTCCACCACCACCATTCATGACTGGGTATCGCATGACTGCAGAGCTTTGATCTGATTTGCTGTAAGAGTGCTGACTCTGACAAAGGGAGTCTACAGGAAAGCAAGCCCCATTACTGCACAAGCTTTGCCAAAAATGTACAAAGGATCTAAACCAGAGGGGCACTGATATCCTTGTTGGGAGATTTGCTCTTGCCACTCAGGAATGTTTAAACTAGCATGGCAATGGGTGGGAACCAGAGCAATAGTTGAGCATGTGCAGAGAAGGTAGAGGTTAATAGGATGAACAAGCAGGGCCAGTTTAATGAATAAGGCAGGACGATAAAATGTGTATTGAATAAGACAAGGACAGGATAGAGTATACAGTCAAAATTAGAGTTCTTTGCACAAATGCACGAGTGTAAGGAACAGATTGAATGTGCTGCAATCACAGATTCAAATTGGAAACCGATATAGTAGCTGTTATGGAAACATGGCTGCAGGATGGTCTGGACTAGGCACTAAACATATCAGGTTATAAAGTTTGCAGGAGTGTTAGAGAAAATGGCAGAGGGGGTGCAGTAGTATTACTGATTTGAAACAGAATCGCTTCTTTGTGAAGGAAGGCTGTAATGAGGGGAAAGCACCTAGTGGAGACCTTACAGATGGAACTGAGGAATTAAAACCGCAAGGGGTGTCATGTATAGACCACCTGATAAGAATGCAGAACTGCTGAAATTAGGTAACTATCCAGCAAAGGCAGAGAAGTACTACTTAGTGGGGGGGAGGGGGCGGTGTGGTGTGGTGTGGTGTGGTGTGGTGGTGGTGGTGGTGGGTTTAATCTTAGCATAGACTGGGAGAGACAGGCCAGCATCTGTCAGACAGATTGTAAATTTGTGGTATGTGTCTGGGATAGTTTCTGGCAGTAATATCTTGGATGCAACAAGGGTATAAGCAACAAAAACAGAAGTTGCTGGAAGGGAGGTTTGCTCGAGCTATACAGGATGGTTTAAACTAGATTGGCAGGGGGTAGGGAACCAGATTCAGCCTTCCAACAAACACAACAGGGATTGAGGTTGTTTGTAAAGAAATGCGGTCGATGGAGTGTAATTGTGGACACGGAGATGGTTTGAGGTGTGTATACTTCAATGCTAGAAGTATCAGAAATAAGGCGGATGAACTTAGAGCATGGGTCGGTACTTGGAACTACGATGTTGTGGCCATTACAGAAACTTGGGTAACTCCGGGACAGGAATGGTTGTTGGAGGTTCCAGGATTTAGATGCTTTAAAAGAAATAGGGAGGGTGGTACAAGAGGCGGGGGAGTGGCAATGCTAGTCAGGGTGATTATAGCAGCGACTGAAAGACAGTTCAAGAATGATATGTCGACAGAGTCAGTTTGGGTTGAGGTCAGGAACAAGAAAGGAGCAGTCACTTTGGGGGTTTTTTACAGATGTGGAAGAGCGGATTAGGAGGCAGATACTGGAAAGGTGCAGAAGTCACAGGGTTGTAGTCATAGGTGACTTCAACCTTCCAAATATTGATTGGAAACATTTTAGTTGTAATAGTTTAGATGGAGCAGATTTTGTCCAGTATGTAGATAGACCAACACGAGGAGAGGCCACTTTGGATTTGGTGCTTGGCAATGAACCGGGCTAAGTGTTAGGCCTGTTGGTAGGAGAGTATTTTGGCGGTAGCGATCATAACTGTGTTACTTTTACAATAGTCATGGAAAAGGATAGGTACATTCAGCAGGGTAAGGTTTATAATTGGGGGTAAGGGTAGTTATAATTCTGTTAGGCAAGAACTGGCTAACATAAAATAGGAACAGATGATGTCAGGGAAGAGCACTATAGAAATATGGAGATTGTTTAAAGAATGCATACTGCGTGTGATTGATTATGTTTGTCCCTGGCAGGCAGGGAAGATGCGGTCGAGTGAGGGAACCTTGGTTCTCGAGAGAGGTCGAACGACTGGTTAAGAGGAAGAAGGATGCTTATATAAGGTTCAGGAAACCAAGATTGGAAAAGGCTCGAGAAGGATACAAGTTAGCCAGGAAGGAGCTGAATGAAAGAACTTAGGAGAGCTATAAGGGGGCATGAGAAAACCTTGGCAGATAGGATCAAGGAAAACTCCAAGGCTTTTTACACGTACATGAGGAATAAGAGAATGACCAGAGAAAGGGTAGGGCCGATCAAGGATTGTAAAGGGAATTTGTGCATGGAGCCTAAAGTGATAGGAGAGGGTCGGAAGATTGGAGAGTGGCAAACGTCATTCCCTTGTTCAAAAAAGGGAATAGCGATAACCCCGGAAATTACAGGCCAGTTAGTCTTACTTCAGTGGTGGGCAAATTACTGGGAAGGGCTCTGAGAGATAGGATTTGTGATCACTTGGATGGGCACAGTTTGATTTGTGATAGTCGGCATGGATTTGTGAGGGGTAGATCATGTCTCAGAAACCTTATTGAATTCTTTGAAGAGGTGACCAAACACGTGGATGAAGGTAGAGCAGCGGATGTGGTATACATGGATTTAAGTAAGGCGTTTGATAAGGTTCCCCACAGTAGGCTCATGCAGAAGATAAGGAGACATGGGATAGGGGGAAATGTGGCAGATTGGATTCAGAATTGGCTGACCCTTCGAAGACAAAGGGTGGTAGTGGATGGAAAATATTCAACGTGGTGCTCAGTAATGAGTGGTGTACCATAAGGATCTGTTCTCCGTCCTCTTCAATTTGTGATTTTTGTAAATGATTTGGATGAAGGAGTGGAAGGGTGGATTAGTAAGTTCGCGGACGATATGAAAGTGGGTCGCGTTGTGGATAGTGCGCAGGGCTGTTCTAGGTTACAAAGGGACATTGATAGGATGCAGAGCTGGTCTGAGAAGTGGCAGATGGAGTTTAACCCTGAAAAGCGTGAGGTGATTCATTTTGGAAGGACAAATTTGAAAGCAGAATACAGGGTTAACACAAAGATTCTTGGCAGTGTGGAGGAGCAGAGGGTTGTTGGGGTTCATGTCCACAGTTCCCTGAAAGCTGCCACCCAGATGGATAGAGTTGTTAAGAAGGCGTATGGTGTGTTAGCTTTCATGAATAGAGAGATTGAGTTCAAGAGCTGTGAAGTTATGCTCCAGCTATACAAAAGCATGGTTCGGCCACATCTGGAGTATTGTGTCCAGTTCTGGTCCCCTCATTACAGGAAAGATGTGGAAGCATTGGAAAAGGTGCAGAGGAGATTTACCAGGATGTTGCCTGGAATGGAGGGAAGGTCTTACGAGGAAAGGTTTAGAGAGCTAGGGCTTTTCTCTTTAGAACGACGAAGGATGAGAGGTGACTTGATAGAGGTGTACAAAATGATCAGAGGTATAGATAGAGTAGACAGCCAGAGACTTTTTCCTAGGGTGGAGGTAGCTTTTACGAGGGGACATAGTTTGAAAGTGAAAGGAGGTAGATATTGGGGAGACGTCAGAGATAGGTTCTTTACTCAGAGAGTGGTCAGGGCGTGGAATGCATTGCTGGAGAGGGTAGTGGAGTTGGCCTCATTAGGGGCATTTAAGTGGCTATTAGATAGGCATATGGATGATAGTATAAGGGTAGGGGTGGAGGTTAGATAGACCTTGGGTTTAGGGTAAAGGTTCGGCACAACATTTGTGGGCCAAAGGGCATGTACTGCGCTGTTCTGAGGAAGGGTGACCAGACCGAAATGTTAACTCTGATTTGTTTTTTCTTCACAGATGCTGCCAGACCTGCTGAGCTTTTCCAGCAACTTCTGTTTTTGCTCCTGGTTTACAGCATCGCAGTTCTTTTGGTTTTTATTAAGGGAATAAGCAATATTGGATCTAATAATGAGCAATGAGCTTGATTTAGTGACCTAATTTATTTGTGAGCATTTGTCAAATAGTGATCAAAACATTGTCAAGTTTCATATCACATTTGTAAGAGATACGAAAGGATTGGATGCTAGAATTTTGAATTTAAGTGAGGCAAACTTGAATGGGATGAGATACAGACTGTCCACTGTAAACTGGGAAGCTCTACTAATAGCTCAAACAACTGAGAAACAAAGTTAGAAGTCACACAACACCAGGTTGTAGTCCAACATGTTTATTTGGAATCTCACAAGCTTTCAGAGAGCAGCCCCTTTTTCAGGTGCAATGAAAGAGCAGGGAACACAGAAACAGACAGATCAAAAGATTGTAAAAATGGTGTGAGTGGAGTGTCAGATAATAAGTCTCCGCAAGTGACCAAGAGTGTTAGACAGTGTGTAAAGTGTTTGTCATGACAGCACAACACTGACTTTATAATCAGGCAGAGCCATAGAAATAGACAAAAGGTGACATCTCAGGTCAGGCACTGAATTGTAGGTATGAGGCTTTGTTCGGAATCTGTCTGAGTTTTAACCTGGAATCAGGTGGGTTTTATTCCGAAAGCTGGAATTTACAAGATGCCACACTGACTGCGACTACAAATTGTGTGTTTTTTTTTGAACGAAATACAATGCATCTGCAAATAGACAAACATCTTGGATGAAATGATTCACCCCATAGATGTGTGTCTGATCAGTAAGTTTGCAAGCGACAATGAAAATTGGAGGAGTTGTGGATAGTGAGGAAGGATATCAAAGAATGCAGCAGGATATAGATTGGTTGGAATGATGCCTGGAGAAATGGCAGATGGTGTTTAATCTGGACAAGTGTGAGGTGATGCATTTTGGCAGATCAAATGCAAGAGGAAAGTATACAGTAAATGACAGGACCCTTAGGAGCATTAATATACAGAAGGATCTTGGGGTCCAAGTTCATAGCTCCCTGAAAGTGGCAACACAAGTAGATAAGTAGTAAAGAAGGTATATACGGCATGCTTGCCTTCGTTGGTCAGGGCTTTGAGTATAAAAGTTAGCAAGTCATGTTGCAACTGCTTAAGACTTTAGTCAGGCCACATTTGGAGTGTTGTGTGCAGTTCTGGTTGCTATACTATAGGAAGGATGTGGCGGCATTGGAGAGAGTGCAGCAGAAGTTTACCAGGATGTTGTCTGGATTGGAGTGCATTAGATCTAAGGAGAGGTTGGTCAAACTTGGATTGTTTTCACTCGACTGTCGGAGGCTGAGGGGAGACCTGATAGAAGTCTATGAAATTACATGAGGCATGGATAGTTGAGTTTCTTTCCCACTATGGCTGTGTCAAATACTAGGGGGTATAGATTTAAATTGAGAGGGGGGAAAGTTTAAAGGAGATGTTTGAGGAAAGTCTTTTTGCACAGAGGGTGGTAAATACCTGGAACACAGTGCCAGGGAAGGTAGTAGAAACAGAAATGTTAGCAAAGTTTGAGGCATTTAGATGCATGGGCAAGCAGACAGTACAGGGATATGGACCATGTATGGGCAGACAGGATTGGTTTAGAATAACATGGTGGGCTGAAGGGCTGTTCCTGTGCTGTATTGTTATATGTTCTAAGTTTCAAGACTCAACCAGTCCAATTAGGTCACTGTAAAGTTTAATGAGATTGATGTGCAGGATGCAAGTCCCGATACCTCCATCTAACCACCTCGAAATAAAATGTGGAAAAGTTTCAGAAAATGGCTCATGGATTTCAGAATTGGGTAATAAAGGATAAATGTGAGGTTATCCACTTTGGTAGGAAAAATAAAGAAGGCAGATTAATAGCAGAATGGTAATAGACTGGGGACTGGTGAAACAAAACTCTTGGGTGTCCTTGTACACCAGTTGTAGAAAATAAATATGCAGATACGGCAAGTGGTGAAGGAGGCAAATGGTAAGTTGGCCTTCATAACAAGAGGATTCGAGTACAGGAGCAGGGATGTTTATGCACTTGTACAGGGCCTTGGTTAGACCACTCTCTGGAGTATTGTGTGATGGACTGGATCATTTATCAGTATATCTAAATCAACGGAGCTGAGGCGGAGAGGGTTGAGAGCATCAAGTTCCTAACAGTGATGATAACCAACCATCTGTCCTCGATTTTCCCACGTAGTTGCGATGATCAAGAAGGCATAACAACACCTCTTCTTCCTCAGGTGGCTTAGGAAATTTGGCATGTCTTTAAGGTCCCTCACCAACTTTTACAGATGCACTGTAGAAAGCATACTGTCCAGGTGTATAACAGCCTGGTATGGCAACTTCTCTGCCCAGGACCGTAAGAAACTACAGAAGGTTGTTTGCATGGCCTACACCATCACAGAAGCTAACCTTCCATCCATGGGCTCTATTTACCTCTCATTTCCACGGAAAGGCTGCCAACATCATCAAAGACCCATCCCACCCCAGTAAAGCTCTCCTGTGACCCCTTCCATCAGGCAGAAGATACAGAAGCTTGAAAACACGCACCGACGGATTCAAGAACAGCTTCTTCTCTGCTGTTATTAAACTGCTGAACGGATCTCTCTGATTTTAGATAATTGATCTTGATAATGTTGATCTTGCTTTACACGCCTCCTGTGCAACCATAACCTTATGCCTCGCTCTGTTTGAGTGCCCTAAGATCTGTATGTCCGTGTTTGCTATGAGCTGCCTGTGCTTCTTGCAAAACAAAGCTTTTCACTGTATTTAGGTACATGTGACTACAATAATTCAAACCAAATCAAATCAAATCAAGGCAATCCCAACCTCTCTGCCCATCTACTTGTCCTTTCGATAGGATGTGTATCCCTGGATGTTTAGTTCTCACTCCTGGTCCCCTTGTAGCCACGTCTCTGTGATCCCACAACATCTTCCATGCCAATTTCAATCTGCTGTACTAGTTTCTCAATCTGTCTTTCATGTCGGAAGTTACGTCAATCGTTCACAACTTGATTGAAGATGCTTTAACGCCCTGGCTAAATGGGCATATCTGCACTTTTATGACTTTTACCCCGCTAATTCTAACCTTTGTAAGCACATAGAGAGAGACCTTTGTGCAAATGCCCTGGGTGTATGGAAAACTTCCGAATCCCAGAATTGAAAATGTTGAAAAAATTTGTTATATTTAGAGATTTTATTTCTCCAAATAATGAATTATGACAGTAAACATTTTCACAAAACTGTCTTACTAGCGAATAGATGAGTGACTGCCATGTGTATGCTTTGGGATAGAGAAATGGAAAGAACTTGTGTTTCTAAAGTGCCATTCATCACCCCTGGAGAGGTTGACAATAGGCAGGAAAGCAGTTGCTATTTTTTGGTTATTGAGCAAAATGACCCTTGGAGGAAGGAGGGAAGGTATGTTTGACCTTTTTCTATTTCTGTTGATCAAATGCCACAATGATGTTAAACGGTTTAGTTTGTCAGATATATCTGTTTAACAGGTGTGAACATTCATGTTCAAAATTGTTGACTTGGTTCAATTTAATTGTTTAATAATAATAGGTGTAATTAAAACTTAATTATTTATTTTCCACAGAATTCTTCAAGGAACTTATAGAAAATGCAGAGAAATCCTTGAATGATATGTTTGTACGGACGTACGGCCAACTATATTTACAAAACTCTGAAGTATTTCAGGATCTATTTAAAGAGTTGAAGAAGTACTATGTGATTGGAAATTTAAATCTGGAGGACATGCTGAGTGACTTCTGGGCTCGACTCTTGGAGCGGATGTTTCAGTTGGTGAACCCTCAGTACCATTTCACTGAAGAATACCTGGAATGTGTTAGCAAATATACAGAGCAGCTGAAGCCATTCGGAGATGTGCCGCGCAAATTGAAGCTTCAGGTGACAAGGGCGTTTATTGCTGCTCGAACCTTTGCACAAGGTCTCAGTGTTGCACGAGACATAGTGAATAAAGTGGCTACAGTAAGTAAAAAGAACTTCTTGCAATGATCAAGCTATAGAGTGTTCCTTACAATATTGCAAGCAAAACAATGGCTATGTGTAGTAACTGATGACCCTCCTTCTCCCTGAAGGGAACCTGATTTTGGGACAGTGAAAGTAACTCAGTTTGCCTTTTTGTTAAGTCAGAAGTCACATGACACCAGATTATAGTCCAACAGTTTTATTTGAAGTCGCAAGCATTTGGAGCACTGCTGCTTCGTCAGGTGAACTGGTGGGAAGCATACAGGCCTGTGCACTTCCTTCCACTTAACCTGATGAAGGAGCAGTGCTCTAAAAGCCTGAGATTTCAAATAAACCTGTTGGACTGTAACCTGATGTCATGTGACTTCTGACTTTGTCCACCCCAGTCCAACAGCGGCATCTCCTCATCACGGTTTTGTATTAAATATACGAGCCAGCTATAATGGTGAATGTTTTTGTTTAATTTTTCCTAGAATAAAGCAAGTAATTTTTAAGAAGTTTTATGGTTTGTAGAAGACAAATGACATCTGAGTATAAATACTAAAATAACTAAAAGTAGTGATGCTGTAATAATTCCATTTGAATTAATAAACCAAGCACTGAGTTTAATTTTGTCAGAGGGCTAGATGTGAAAAGCAAGTTATATTAAATTAGTATAGAATCTTTTGTTAAAATATACATGAAGCACTGTGATCAGTTTGGCCTTTGTATTGTCAGAAGTTTAGGAGCTGATATAAAAGTCATGGGTTATATCTGTCACAAAAGATTGAGCAGGCAGAATCACAGAATTGTTATTTTGCGCCAGCTCTCAGCATTTTGGCCATAGCCCTGAACGTTGTTTCTAATTAAATAAACATCAAATACACTCTTGAATGCCTCAGTTGAACCTGCCTCCACCACAATTCAAGGCAGTACATACCAGACTCGATTTCTCATACAATGAGTAGTTATTTTTCTCTCCTCACATGTGGTTTTTTGTTTTGGCAAAAACACTTGAAATCTGTGCCTTTTGGCTTTTAGTCATTATGGGCAGGGCCAGTTCCTCCCCATCTTCTTCTCCAGGCTGTTCATGATTTTGAAAACTCTTTCAGATCTCCTGTTGGTCTTGCCTTGTACAAGGTAAGTAGTCCCAACTTCTCCAATCTTTCCTCATAAGTGAAATGTCTCATTCTCATAAATGTCTTCTGCACTCCCTCTAATGCATTCACATCGTTACTACACTGTGGCACCCGGAACTGTACACAATACTCCACTTGAGGTCTAGGCAGTGTCCTATCTTTATTCATTATAACCTCCTTTGTCTTGTACTGTATGTCCTTTTAATGAAGCCTAATAAAGTCTGTTTTATTCATTGTTTTCCCTACCTGTCCTATATCCTTTAATGACTTATGCACATGTACATCCAGCTTTCTCTGCTCCTGGACACTCTTTAGAATATTAACCTTTGTTTTATCCATTCTCCATGTTCTTAGCATCAAAATGGGCAGAACGGTGGTTCAATGGTTAGCACTGCTGCCTCACAGCGCCAGGGACCTGGGTTCGATTCCACCCTCGGGCGACTGTCTGTGTGGAGTTTGCACGTTCTCCCTGTGTCTGCGTGGGTTTCCTCTGGGTGCTCCGGTTTCCTCCCACAGCCCAGAGATGTGCAGGTTAGGTGGATTGGCCATGCTAAATTGCCCAGAGTATTCAGGGATGTGTAGATTAGGTGGGATAAAGGGGGATGGGTCAGTGTGGACTTGTTGGGCCGAAGGGCCTGTTTCCACACTGTAGGGATTCTACGATGAATTCTACAATGAAAATATATCTTTCTTCTCCACTTTGAATGTCATCTGCCACCATTCCACTCTCTCCACCAACTTGTCAATGTCCTTTTGAAGTTTTACACTGTCCTCTCAATTTATGATTCTGTCAAGTTTTGTGTTATTCACAATCTTTAAACTTATCTCCTGCCCACCAAGATCTGGACCATTTAGAAACCACAGAAATGATACAGCACAGAAGGGGGTATTTGGCTCATCTTGTCCATGATGACCCAGATGCCCTTTCTAATCCCAACTTCCTGCATTGGCTCATAGTCCTGCAGTTTACAGCACTTAAGGTGCCGATCCAGGTTATGTATCGTTTATACATTAGGAAAAGCAAGGATTCTAAAACCAACCCCCCGGGGAACCCTATTTATTTTCTATCACTGATCCAATTTTGTATCCATGTTGCTATTGCCACTTCTATATCATGAGCTTTAACTTCTCTCTGAAATCTGATGTGTGGCACTGTTTGAAACATCTTTTTGGAAGCCCACGTATATTACTTTAACCGCTCTGCACATATTAACACACTCTGTTACCTCTTCAAAAACTCCAAGTTATTTGGGCGAAATGTTTCCTAAACAACATGTCTTCCTTACTAATAGTGACCAATTTCCTCTTTTATAATCATGGCTTGAGCAGCACCTGCTTCATAGGTGAAGACAGATGCAAAGAAATGAGTTTTATTACCCCTTGCCTCCACGTTTAAATCCCCTGTTTGGTCTCAAATTGGTCTTTTTTTTTAAACCACATTTTTGCTTATTGATATAGCCATTGAGATTTTGGATTTTCCCTTTTATGCTCGCAGCCATTTTTTCCATAATTAATTTCCTAAACAGACCTTTGGTTGTTTAACTTAACTTTTAGCTATGTTCATCATTCGGGGAACTCTGAATTTGTTTGTCCTCCCTTTTCTTTTCTTTTTGAGGGAAAATACTTTGTGCTCTTTCCACTCCTCCTTGAAGGTTGCCTATTACTCAGCTATTGCTTTTCCTTCCAACCTTAGAACAAAGAAAATTACAAAAGAACAAAGAAAAGTACAGCACAGGAACAGACCCTTCGGCCCTCCAAGCTTGCGCCGATCCAGATCCTCTATCTAAACCTGTTGCCTTTTTCCAAGGATCTGTATTCCTCTGCTCCCTGCCCATTCATGTATCTGTCCAGATACATCTCAAATGACGCTATTGTGCCCGCCTCTACCACCTCCGCTGGCAATGCGTTCCAGGCACCCACCACCCTCTGCGTAAAGAACTTTCCATGCATATCTCCCTTAAACATTTCCCCTCTCACCTTGAAATTGTGACCCCTAGTAATTGAGTCCCCCACTCTGGGGAAAAAGCTTCTTGCTATCCACCCTGTCTATGCCTCTCATGATTTTGTAGGCCTCAATCAGGTCCCTCCTCAACCTCCGTCTTTCTAATGTAAATAATCCTAATCTACTCAACCTCTCTTCATAGCTAGTGCCTCCATACCAGGCAACATCCTGGTGAACCTCCTCTGCGCCCTCTCCAAAGCATCCACATCCTTTTGGTAATGTGGCGACCAGAACTGTACGCAGTATTCCAAATGTGGTCGAACCAAAGTCCTATACAACTGTAACATGACCTGCCAATTCTTGTACTCAATACCCCGTCCGATGAATGAAAGCATGCCGTATGCCGCCTTGACCACTCTATCGACCTGCGTTGCCACCTTCAGGGTACAATGGACCTGAACACCCAGATCTCTCTGTGCATCAATATTCCCCACGGCCTTTCCATTTACCATATAGTACCACTTAGGTTCTAGTCTATCTGGCCGAGCTCTGTTCTTATCATAGAATCCCTACAGTGCAGAAAGAGGCTATTTGGCCCATCTAGTCCACACTGAGGAAGGGTCACCAGACCCAAAACATTAACTCTGATTTCTCTTCGTAGATGCTGCCAGGCCTGCTGAGCTTTTCCAGCAATTCCTGTTTTTGTTTCTGATTTACAGCATCTGCAGTTCTTTTGTTTAATTTGGTCTCAGCTGGCTTATTATTCTTACTCTGAATTGAGGGGGTTGGTTAACTCATTTGGATGAACCATAAGAAATAGGAACAAGAGTGAGCCTGCTCTGCTATTCCATAAGATCACCGCATTCTTCTAGATTCCCAACCTGTTTAGCCTTTGCTCATATGACAATCAATCCATGACAGGGATCATTCCAGTGAACTTTCTCTGAGCTGCATCCATGAAATATTGAGACCAACACTACTCTCATTACTCCAGAAGTGGTCTCACCTGTACCTTGTACAAGTGCAGTAGGACTTGGCTAACCCTAACTTTAACACTCTTGAAATACGGGCCAACATTTCATGAGCTTTCCTGATTACCTGCACACCTACGTGCTAGGTTCCTGTTTATGCACATGTACCCCCAAGTCCTTTTTGAGTTGCCTTTCTGCATTAAAATAATACTGTTCTTTTGTTCTCCCGTCCAAAACCAATAACTTCACATTTTCCCCACAATATACTCTGTTTGAAACTTTTTGCCTACATACGTAACCTATTAATTTCTCTTGGTAAACTGTTTGTGTCCCTCTCCCAACCTGCCTTTCCACCTATTTTTGTCTCATCTGCAAGTTTGGCTACAGTCCATTCACTTCCTTGCTCCAGCACTGATTCCTGCTTCAGTATCTGAGGAGTCACAAATGGTGCTGAACATTGTGCATTCATTGGCAAACATCCCCATTTCTGATCTTATGATGGAGGGAAGGTCATTGATGAAGCAGCTGAAGATGTTTGGACCTAGGACACCACCCTGCGCAACTCCTGCAATGATAGCCTGGAGCTGCGATGATTGACCTCCAGCAACCTCAACCATCTTCCTTCGTAACCAGCAGAGAGTTTGCTCCCAATTCCCATTGATTCCAGTTTAGATAGGGTTCCTTGATGCTACACTTGAATGTGGCCTTGATGTTAAGAGGAGCTACTATCACTGTCACCGTCACCATGTTTTGTCCATGTTTGAACCAAGGCTGTAATGAGATCAGGAGCTGAGTGGCCCTGGTGGAACCCAAACTGGGCGTCACTGAGCAGGTTATTTCTGAGCAGGTGCTGCTTGATAGCACTGTTACTGACACCTTCCATCACTTTACTGGTGACAGAGTAGAAAGTTCAAGAGCACAAGTCTTCAGTACTAGCAGTTGGAGCTGGAGCCGGATCCAAATGTGTGT